GTTTGGGTAGAGAACCGAACGCAATTGGTAGCAATTGTTCCATAAAAATATGACAATCATGACTTTTCATACCATGCAACTTCCCAGTGTTAGCATCAGCACACCTTGCTAAATTTGAAGAATACCCGTCGGGTATTCTCAAACCTTTTAGCCATCCACAAACCGCTTTAGCTTCTTGGGGGGTCAGACTGAAACAAGCTTTAGGTTTAAATAATTTTCCATTTGGTTGAGGCTTCAATTCCAACTCTTTATGATTACACCAAATTTCCATGTCTTGTCTAGCCTTCACATTATCTTTTGTTCTGTCTTTAACATCCATCACTGTGTTAAATACGTTATCAAAAAAATTCTTCTCAATATGCATAACATCAAGATTATGGCGCAACAAATTATCTTTCCAATACGGGAGGTCCCAAAATATACTTCTTTTTGTCCAATTATGTGTGACCCCATATCCTTAAATTCTACATGCTTTGCCAGTATCTGTAAACTTTGGAAGTTCACAAACTTGGTTCCATATAGCAACTGGTGACAATCGAGGCGGAGGCAGATCTGTTACCCGTTCGTCCTTTTTGAAATTTGTCTTGTTTTTTCTAAAGGGGTGATTTGATGGTAGGAATCTGCGGTGACAGTCAAACCACGAGCATTTCCCCCCCTTTTCCAATGTAAACGCCTTAGTGCATTCCATGCAATACGGATAACCCATTCTGCCATGTGTACCCCAACCAGACAACATGCCATGTGCTAGAAAGTCGTTAATGGTCCACATCAAGGCAGCTCGCATATAAAAGTTTTGTTTACGGGATATATCATAAGTCCATTCTCCATTATTCCACAACCTCTTCAAATCATCAATTAAAGATTGTAAGTACACATCAATTCTGGTTTTTGGACTCGACGGTCCTGGAATGACGCATGTCAAAAACATGTATGGTTTTGTCATGCACATCTCAGGAGGGAGATTGTAAGGGGTTACAATAACTGGCCAACAAGAATACACACTTCCAGACGCTTGGACATATGGAGCAAAACCATCAGAGCATAATCCAAGCCTGACATTTCTAGGTTCCGCGGAAAAATTAGGATGTACCTCATCAAAGTGCTTCCATGCATGGCCATCAGATGGGTGTCGCATATTGCCTGGGCTTGTTTTGTTTGTATGATGCCATGTCATTTGACTTGCACTGTGCATTGAAGAAAACATTCTTTTTAACATTGGTATTATCGGAAGATAAAACATGGACTTTACTGCTACACGTTTTTGTTTACTGTTAATGGCTCTATTGCGAACTTTATATCTTGGACTCTGACAAAACTTACATTCCTCTGACGATCCATCTTAAGTACCAAACTCGTTGTCATAAAAAAACATGCAACCATTTATGCAACAATCAATCTTTCTTACTCTTAAACCTAACTTCGACACCAACTTATTTGCATTATAGAAACTCGCAAGCAAGTTGTCTTTCGTTGCAGTTGAGTCCAACATCATTTTTGTGAAGTGCTCCAAACACTGATCAGGAACATTCCAATTTGACTTGACGGCCAATAATCTCACACACATTGATAGCTTTGAGTCTGACGACCCCTCAAACAACGACGTATTCATCTCATTCAACAACTGATAAAATCTTTGCGCTTCTTCATTCGACAACTCTTCCCCGTCAAAATCTTCTGGTTGATCATAGGTCACGTTAACACCAAAAGCATCACCAACCATGTCACCTATCAGATTAAAGTTTTCCTCAAATTCCATAGGCGGTTGCATAGCCGGTTGACTACTTGAAGCATCTGTGTTGCTAGTCTCTAGTACATTACTCGGCAGTGTTTCACCATTATACGTCCAAACCCAATAATTTTCAATGAAACCTTTTCTATGCAAATGACGTGTTATTTCCTCTGGGTACTAATTATATATCTACATCCACATTTAAGACAAAGACACCTAACTCCTCATTCACTTCGACAACGTTCCTGAGCAAACGTCCACGTGATAAAACCATTAACTCCGTCTATAAAATTGGGTTTAAGTGCGCGTCTTCCTGGATATAGTCTATCGTACATCCAACTACGATAATACCTATAATATTCCATTTACTGCAAATTTATATAATCAAAACCTATTTAATTAGAAATATTAATTAATCAACTTAATAATAATCCTAAACATATACTATTAAACATAAATATATGCTTTTACTTTAACTATTTTTAATATATAATATTTTTTATTATATACTATTAAATATACTATATATTAATATATAGTTTATTAAATATATAATAATTAATAAAAAATATGATAACTGTCAAATATGACACATTTGTCCATGGACTTTTTTATTAATAAATAATAAATATTAATATTAATTTTACTTTATTTTCAATTACGCATAAGTTTGTCTTCATTTCCATTTATTTACAATTATGTATTGATATTTAAAATGGCTCATTAAAGAAAAAATCATATTCACTAAATATATTTGGCTTTAGCACTCATAATTTTTTTTTATTTCAATTTATTATCAATTATTAATTAAAATTAATTACAATTACTTGATTTTTGAAATTTTAATCAAATATTATTAATAATTTATAATAATAAATTGAAAACTTTTTACAAATCAATAAAATATAAAGTCATAAAGATAAAATATATTTTTATTTTTAACTTTCAAATAAATTAAATATATAAATTATTAATATTATTATTCCTAACTCATTTATTATACATAAACTTAATAATATTTACTTTCATAAAATATTAATATTTGAATTAATATGCACTGCAAAAAATTAAAAATAAAAATATATTTTATTTTTTTAATTAAGAAAAAATATTATACAATCTAACCCATAAATTTTTTAAACTTTTTTAAATTTCAAAAAACATCAAGTAGCTATTATACTTTTTCTAATTCTAACTTATTAGACTTAACAACATTCTATTAAAATAGTTCATCCAAAAAAATATATTTTCAGTTAAGACAAAAAATTTTAATTTCAACGCTTAAAATTTATAAACTCCTAAAAATATTTTTTACTTTCTTTATAAATTAATAAATAAAAACTTATAAGGATTAAATCTTTTTGATTTTTAAATTGCAAATGATTAAAATGATTATTGTTATTATTTTTATTATTCACTAAGTTACTACATAAATTAATAATTATAACTATTGTATTCATCACAATTTATTTATTTATTTGTGTTTTTCACTAATTACTATATTTATTATTATTTATTTTGTAACATTAATTTACTTATTACTAAAATTTTATTATATACCCCTAAGAATATAATCAACTTAAATTTTAAATGGTTATAAAGATGTAAAATATAAAGTAATAACGATATAATCTTTTTTATTTTTAAATTTAAAATAAACTAAATAATAAAAATGATTAATATTATTATTCCTAACAAATTAAATATTTTTTATTCTGTTTTTATAAATTAAATAAAATCAGATCAACCAAATTTAATTAAAATTATAATATTATAATTTAAACCAAATTCAACCTAAAATTTAACTAAATTCAGAAAATATACTAAATTAAAAAAAAAAACCAAGAAATACCTCTTATCTTCTAACTCCTTCAATCTTCTTGTCCAACCTTTTTGCAATCTACTTCTACCAATCTTCTTCTATTCAAAGAAAAATTAAAAAAAATTACATACCATAATACAATAAAGAAAAAGTTGTTAACAAAATAGAGACAAAATTGAATTGAATTTACCTTAAAACAAGAATTAATGGAGATTGAAGAGATTTTATATTGGAGAAGAAGAAATTTTATGAAGAAGAAAATGGTTATGGAGAGATGGAATGAGGAGAAGAGGGTTGAAGAAGAACATTTTTTATTCTAACATAACAATACTGTCTGTCTGTGGAGCGTGATTGAAATAAATATATAAAGCACTTAGCGACGTGAAAATCACGTTGCAACGTTGCCACATGATTTTCACGTCACAATCATCCCAACAGTCATATTATCTTTCTTCACATGCCTTCAAAGCCTGAACACGTCAGTCTCTAATGATTTGATTTTTCTCTCTTAAATGTTGCGACGTGAATAACACGTCGCAACTTACTTTTTCAAAATTTCAAAATGACAACTATCTGAACGTTAGACCAATTAAATTATTTTTTATTATATTTTTAGTAGCAACGTGAATCCCACCTCGCAACATTTTTTTTTTATAAAAAAGTCAAACAACCATCGGTCTTCTTTATTTTATTAATAAAACATGTTACCACGTGATTTTCACGTCGCAACTGGTTTTTTTTAGCCACATGTAAATCACGTGGCTGAAGATGATATTTCTTGTTGTGATTGCATATGTAATAATTCTTGCTTGCATCACAAGAAACAAAATATTACACTAAGATCTATTGAGAATGAACATGGAAGATGGTGAAAATATGATTACATGCTCTGAATGAAATCTTTTGTTCATTAAAAAATACAATGCATGAGGCTTGATATATATGTTTTGTTCAACCTCTCATGGTTACTAACATGATTTTGGAAGTTATTTAGATCTTCTAACTAACTTTTTCAACTTACTTTAACTAACTTCAACTATTATAATCATCCTTCTATATTATTCTAATAAGATTTACTATTATTTCAATAATTAATTTTGTGCTATAGGAGATAATTTGATTTACCAATAAATATGGAAAATGGGGATCATCTTTACAGAACCAACTTGTTTGACTCCAAGTCATAAACAACTAGTAGTTTTTTCTCCTCTCTCTCTCTCTCTTGGTCAACTTTCTCCACGTAGGAGTGAGAGAACAAAATACAATGGATGAAAATAGCAAAACAACAGGTGGAATGGTTTCAATAGTAGCAAGTTGCCCCACAAACATTATATATGAATTTATGTCTTTTTGTTTCTTTTTATTTTGGCCTCAAAATTCATCTATATATAATATTCGAGAGCCTTTGTCTAAAACAAGAAAACACAACATTTTTGTAAGGTTTATGAGATGAAGAAAAAATGTGAACTCTGCAAAAGTCCAGCAAACTTGTTCTGTGAATCAGATCAAGCAAGTCTTTGTTGGGAATGTGATACTAGGGTTCACACTGCAAATTTCATTGTCACAAAACATCAAAGGTTTCTTCTTTGTCATATTTGTCAATCTTTAACTGCTTGGCATGGAACTGGACCCAAGTTTGTTCCAACCATGTCTCTTTGTAACTACTGTGTTTCTGTTACCAATGGTCATCAAAATCACGATAACGACGACGAAGACGATGACGATGACGATGAAGATGAAGACACCGATGACGATGATGAAGAAAATCAAGTTGTTCCATGGAAATCTACACCTCGACCAGTTTCTTCTTGTTCTTCAAATAGTGCAACTACCTATTAGCTAGAAAAAAATAAATATTTTGTTCTTCTATGTACTAATTTTGAGGGTTTTTGTTTTAGATTCATAGGTTTGTAACAAAATTAGTTTATAGTTTATATGTTGTAATAATAATCATAATTTTGTAGTAAATGCTTTCAATCATATGCTTTTGTTAATATTAAAAATGGTATCTCTCAAATTATGAAAGATTTTGTTTGATCTTGAGATTAAAGGATAACAACCTCTTAATTAATTAATGTGATTCACCAATAAAATGAGGCTTTCAACCTGAGATTAGGGAAGTGGGTCCAACTAAATTCGACATTACCACGTGCTTTCCATAAGCAAGTTGAGAATGTACATTGTATAAAGCAAGAAATGTTAAATTTATGACTATTTAAACAAATGACAAATCAAACAAAACTCGATGAAATTAAATTGAAGTTAAAATAATTAAATTATTATGTTTGATTAAGAAATTGAATCATATTGCCCAATTAAATAAACAGTTCAATTAACTTTAAACTATCTTTTATTATATAGTTCGGTTCATTATAATTTTCAGACTCTTTTATCCTTCAAGAGTCCTAATTTAATTCGAATAAAATCGATTTATGTAGTTTGAATTTTATTATATATATTAATTAAGTTGGAAAAGACTTGAATTATCTTATCTAAAATCTAAATATCCTTAAACATTTTCTTATTTACCTAAGTAAAAAGTAGGAGTTAAATGCACATTTATAGACAAAAATTGGTGGTTGAATACTATGAGTGTATATGTGGCTACAAATGCATTCTTTTGCCTAAATTTACCACCACCAAACAACTCGATAGATACTTTTCATATTATATGTTCTTATTCTTTGGATTTTGATCTCCTACAAACCCATTGGTTTTTCTGATTTGTCCCTCATTGTACTTCAATATCTCAAAGTGTTTTGTGAACCACAAAAGGAAAAAAAAAGAGAAATATTCTACTTATTGAAATTATAGCCACTACACTTCCCTTGGTAATCGACACATGTCAAAAGTCTTTTCTCAAGTAAAGATGATATTACAAAAGTGCTTGCTTTAAGCAACGATTCAAATTACATGGAGTCTCAATCATATTTATAAGAGAGATTTCTAGATTAATAAAAGATGAAGCAACGAATAATGTTATTGTTTAGACTAAAAATTCAAAAGAGAATAATGTGACGTTATGAGGTTTGTTTGTCTCACTATAACTTTAGTTGCTTTTTGAGATATTTTCAACCGTATATAGTTTCAAAGATGGTAGTAATTACTGGTGCACTCAACTAGATGATGTAATTTGATTTATATTGTATGAATTAAATTATATTATATTTGTAGGAACAAACTACAAGCATCGTGATATTTGTATGCTATTTCTTATTGTTCAGCGGGTGAAATTAGAATTTATCGGTGAACAAAGAAATATAGTTTATCGGGGTAGATTTGTGTTTTCAATCCAATTAAGTGGAGAATGGTCTATAAAGTGAATATTTCAATTTAAAAGTCACTGAGAGAGTAAAAATAAATGTGTAAGTATGAATGAATTTGAATAGTTGAGAAGTGATATATGTTTTCTTTTAAATAGAAGAAATGATTAACAATAAAAAACAACGAGTAAGATGTGGTTTGCGGCCAGCCGTCAGATTGATATGCGTGGTAAGCAAAACTCTAGTGGATGAAATCCTCTGTTTCTAGGAAAGAAAAAGTATATTTGTTTAGAGTGTTTGACTACTTCTGCCATATTATTAGACCTTTCATCTTAGGCCTTTTGAATTGCCTAGAACAATTGCCCTCAAGCCCTTGTCTTTGCTTTGTAAAATGAGGGTTTTCCATATGTACTCCAATCCGACTGATGGATTCGAGGAAGTGAAAGCATTTGATGGGACGTTATTGTCATAAAAAATAAGCACATTTAATATTTGTCTCGTAATAGCTAATATTTTGTTGTGAATGAGTGACGGGTGTCTTTATGCTAGTTGATGACGTTTCTTCTTCTTTAGAGTGCTTGAGTACTTTAAATAGTTTTTGATGAAATCCAACCATTGGTGGTGCATAGTGAATGATGCGACATTTAATGGATGAGACGCTTATAAGAGGTCCCTGGAGCGTCATTTTCCCCTTTTTATGTCATTAGCGGCTTACAAATGAATTCCTTTCTACCTTTTGTTGTCATTCTTTCTCATGAGTTTTTTTGTTCTAGTTTTTGGTCAAGTTTATACGAGATCTTCTCTCGTTGGCACTAAGCATGCATGATCGACCGATTCATTTTCTTTAAGTAAGGCCAACATCTTCTTGCTTTTGCCGCTTTCTTAAGACTTTCTACGTAAAGAGCTTTCAATATATTTATTTCTATTTTTGAGAGATTTCTTCTATCGTTGACACTTTTTTGTAGGAGTTTTTGTTTTGAACTTGTTTGCTTATCCTAACTTATTTGTATAAATTATTCTTCGTAGGGCTTTTTATTATAGAGATTGTACAAACTATGACTAGGAAGGCGAAGAAAGATATCTCAGTCGACTGGGTGGACCAAGAAACATTGGAGACTATCTCCGTTTTTGCCCGCGAGGGTGGCTTAGACTAAATCACGCCTGCAGTTTAAGTATGATTGCTTTTAGGCAAAAAATCCAAATACTTTGAGACCTATTATGATAATGTGAAGTATTTCAAGGATCACTTCTTTTGGTTACCCCCTTAATGAAGAGGCGCATGTGAAGATATATAAAATAGAACTTGGGCCTCCATATGTATGTGTGGATTTATTTTGCAAGTTCTAGAGCCTTAGTCATTTCTTGATAATGATCGGATATTACGTTTACAAGGAAGATGACTTGTCCCAATAAGAGGTATATTTGAAGAGATAATTCACAGTCTTCTACAAGGAGCTTGGTTATGTCAATTATGGCATCCCTTTTGATGCATCATCAAGGAAGACTCCTAAGAATCTTCTTGACATGATCAGAAGTTATATAGCTCTTGTTCAAAACTTGAATTCTAGATACCAGAACTTGAAACCTTGAGAACATGGTTTCAATATTCTCATTTTCTTTCAATTCAAAATAGTTCATATTGTTGGACCAAAACATTATCCTCTGCCTCTTTTATCTGTTGATTTCCTTCATAGGTAGCATACAAAGATCGAAAGATAGTTTTTGCAGTAGACACTACTATATAACACGCAAACAACAACGCCTAAGTCACCACGTCAAAGGATCCACTGTGGTAGAATCTATTCAACTAGACATTTTTTTAATTTTCATATTTAAGCCACTTTTCACTGCGGTTGGAAGTTTCTACCGTGGTAAAAACTGGCGCATGGTCATGAGTTCTAATCTTGATGTTGTTGTTATTCTACTGCTGTATTATTTACATTTTATTAAAAGACATACAACAAAAGTTATTTAATACAACCATTGTTGTATGTAGCATGCATGGTCATGATTTTGAATCTTGTTGTTGTTGCTTTTCTACTGCAGCATTTTTTTATATTTTATTAAAATACATACAACAATGGTTATTTAATACAATTGTTGTTGTATGTAGCATATTTATTGAGTTTCTTCATCATCCTTAAATAAATCTCAATCGTCCATTCAGTGACTATCAATGCTTAGGACACTACCGTTAGTGATCTGCGTGAAACCTAAAACTTAGACAAACTTCCAACTTAGAAGAACTTCATCTTCTACTTTCAAACAACATCTTTCATTTACGACGCTCTATTTCTCCACTAAATCAAGCTCGAAAATATCATTTCTTCCATAAGCAAAACTCGAAAGCATTATTTCTTTAATTTATAAATTTCAAAACTTTGTCATTTATTCTCCATCTTGAATGAGACAAGGAAAGTATGGGTCCAAGTTATCAATGTTAGTTGTTGTTCTTCTTATTGTTCTTTTTTTAGTTATTGTTGTTGTTCTTATTCTTATTATTGTTGTTCTTGTTGTTGTTCTTGTTCTTGTTGTTGTTCTTGTTCTTGTTCTTGTTGTACATTGTTGTTGTTGTTATTGTTGTTGTTGTTGTTGTTGTTATTATTCTTCTTCTTCTTCGTCGTCGTCTTTTTGTTGTTCTTGTTGTTGTTCTTGTTTTGGTTGTTCTTGTTGTTGTATGTTTTTATTGTTCTTCTTCTTCTTTTTCTTCTTGTTTTTTTGTTCTTCTTGTTGTTCTTCTTGTTTTTTGTTGTTCTTATTGTTGTTCTTCTTGTTCTTGTTGTTGTTCATGTTGTTCTTGTTGTTCATGTTGTTCTTGTTGTTGTTCTTGTTGTTGTTACTGCTTATTATTCTACTGCTAGTTTTTTATTAAAATACAAACCACAATGGTTAAGCTACTAACCGTTGTGATATCACGCGAACTTTCCAGTATACTACAACGGTTCCAAGACTGTGATTGTAAATAACGCAATTACAATAACACTCTACATAATAACACTTGGACCCGTATAATTATATACTTTTTCCAACCGTTGTTAAATGTCTTTTTAATAGTAGTGATACTTGTCAATTATCTTTATATACTTAGAGTAAGGTAAAGAACCCACCAGAATGGCATGCACTATGTGATGTTTTCTGTAGATATTCTTTTGATCAGGCGTGAGACTTTTTCTATCAACAACCATTCCTACTCCATCAATTGGAATAGAAATGTCATATTCAAGAATGTCCCATGACTCATCATTAATACTTATGATGTAAGTGTACATTTTGCTTTTCGACCATTCAAATTCTGTTAAATATTCACTGAATACTGAAGGTCTAGAAGTATAGTTATTATTTTCGTAACTACTATAATCAAAGTTAACATCATTGTTATTGTTATTATTATTAGAACTAGAAATATCACCACCATATATTTTTTTTCTATCAAAATATTTTTTGTACCACTATTAAGTGTTAGAGCATAGACCAAGTGCTCTAATGCCAACTGAAGGTCAAAAAACACAAGAAGGGAAGTTGAATTGTGTAGGATTTTTCTTTCTTTTCCAAACTCTCTTATCAGATTCTGAACAC